TGGGCCGGACCTGCCAGAAGAAGACAATAAAGGATTAGAATTAAATCTGCCCCTTGGAGCCCCGTGACCACGACCCCGGCCGCCTCTGTTTCCACGAGGAATGACGGCGCTAGAATAGAACGCCGTTGGCGACGGAGATTCATGACGAACAGAATAGCGCCGGATCTGACTTTCTTCGCTCAGCAACAGGGAGTGCAGGTCTTCAAAACTGATTGGCTCCATGCGAGATTCAATGTGGCGAACAAATGGTCGATAGTCCTCACCGAGGCCGTCGAGCAACCAGGCAATAAAATCATCATTCTTGAGCGGAGCACCGAGGGCAGCGAGCTGATCCGCCTTGGCCTTGGCGGCCTGCAGATAATCATGGATCGCGGCATCACCACGACGAAGATTTTGAAGTTCCTTCGTCAAATGGCGAATCTGAAGCTTGGATCCAGACGCATAGATGCGAACAAGGGCAGACCAGGCATCGTAGGCCGTAACCTTGTTGATTACATTGGGAAGCACAGACTCAGAGAGGGAAAAATTAATCCAGGTAAGAACGTACTGATCACGTTCATACCAGGTTAGATAGGCCGGATTGGGATGGCCATCGACGAGCTGCGGCGGAGCTGGCAGAGTGCCATCAACGTGTCCCATAAGACGATGACAACGTAAAAGTGGCGTGATCTGGGCATGCCACAAGAGGTAATTGGTAGGGGTGAGTTTGATGGACAGCTGGGGATTGGCAGGAAGAGTCAGCGTGGTGGTCGGCAAGGAAGAAGAATAACCAGAGGCAGAGGTGGAGGAAACAGAGGATGACTCGGTGGCCATTTGAGAAAGAAAAGGGAAGAACTAACAAAGGGAGGTGAGAAAGGAAAGAATTCTCGTTAGAGAGAGTAAGGCTCTGATACCATAAACGAGCACAAAGCTTGAGTTTGCTCTTATTGAGTGAATGCTTTTATAGGTACATTTAGATGCTGAAATAAAGGAACTGAAAGCAGGACTATAACAACCAGATCCAACATAACCTTCTCCCAACAACTCGAGTTATTGGGAGCATACTGGTTTATGACATGGTATCAGAGCCTAGAACCGAAAGGTCATGTGTTCGAATCTCCACGACCCCCAATATTAACCGTTGTCTTTCAAGCACATGGTATGGTGGGCCTGTGCAAACTTCAAGCCCGTGGGTTGGCTTTCGTTTAAGGGGGCGTGTTAGAGAGTGGTATAAGATCCAACATAACCTTCTCCAACAACTCGAGTTATTGGGAGCATACTGGTTTATGACAGGTTGAACCTATTGTTGCCCAGTTTTGGCTCGGGAACGAGTTTCATCCGCTTTAGTGTTTGTTAATATTTTCCCCTTTTGATTGAGAATGTTAATCGAATCCAAACCCATGGGTATTCAACCTAATTTGGCCCGGTTAATGCGAGTTGAACCTACTCAAACCTGCGATCAGCCACGAAAATCCACAAAAAAGATAATCAATATTAACTTAATAAAAACAAAACAAAAAGAGTACAAACTGGACAATATCGTCATGAGAGAAGTTTAAAAATATAAATCATTTGCTCTACGACTCTTCTCCCTTGTGAAAGTTTATCGCTTAGCCGACCACATAGTGTTGTAGATGACAAACCCATGGAAATATAGATTTAAGGATGAAATAAATCCCTTTAATTTTGGATAATCATTATTTAAACTATTACTCTACAAAATATCATATTGTGGCTCTCGCGCGAAGCTATAGGGAGCGGGCTTATCATAGTACATATATATAAAGGAATATGCATGGTTACACTTTTCTGATTTTAATCATACAATCCTCCTGTTTATATCAGGGACTGCCTTCCAGAAACCCTTGCTATAGAAAATCACTTTGATCCGCCGCCAAACCTTAACCAATTTGCAACTTCAGACTTCGCAAGAATCAAGTTGCATGTCTGCAGCATGGGTATCAAGACCAAGACCCAAAGTTTTTTCTTCCCCACTTTCCAGAAGAAAAAGATCCGATTCTAGCTGTGTCAGCTGGGATGGAGCTTTTGCTGCAATCTTGGGTTCACAGTCATCAAATTACAAGTGTAATATCAACAAGCACAAAGGAATTGACCTGATGAATAAGCACAAGCAAGGCAGAATCTGTCTCTCAACATACAAATTACTGGATTTGGCCAACCAAACCAATTAATTACCAGCCATGGGACTGTTTAGTGTAAATTAATGCAAGTCATGCTGGAAGTTGTATAATATAGGGGGGGGGGGGGGAATTAATGCAGTAAAACAATGATCATCGAAACGTTTCCAACAACTTGAGTTATCGCGTCAAATGCCACCCAGAGTTCCCCCAAACACTTCAGTATAGGATGCTGAAAGAGCCCCCCAACAATGAAGTGATCAGGAGAACTCAAGGGGACAGCTGACCATAGTAGTTAGCTAGCTTTGCTTCAGTTTTTCTCTCTTCAAGTCTTTGTTAGTTAAACAAGCAAATGACTCTCCCCTTTATATACACAAAACTCTCAAACTCACAATACAGAGAAATGAGAATTGGCAGAGTATGTAACTATGTATATAGGGAACCTGGTCACAATTCAGGCCTGTGGTGCCAATTTCCTCCCCTCAGAGGACCATTAGTAAGTACAGATTCTGAAGAAAATTGTGCAGCACTTACATCTTGCTTGCTTGCTGTCCAGAAAATGGTTTCTGGAGGTCGATTTGCAAACGCTGAAAGGGAAAGATGGGAGACGTAGTTTCTTTTCTTTTCGATCTCCCCTGTACTTGATCTCATGATATTATTCTCGCCCACTTTACTTTCTTCTCTGTTTTGATTCTTTCTTCACTTACCCATTCTTGCTGTCCAGGTTCAACAACCAGCCAATGAAATATGGCACCACCACCATGCATCAAAAAATATGGAACGATAAAAGCTATCATGATGAGCGATATAGCTATCTAAGTGCATAACACAGTCCTACAAGCATTAATTTGTGCAATGTAATATGCAGATTCTCGTATTTGGTACTCCTAGGCTACGAATATCTGCAACTAAAAAAGTAGAGCAGAGAATATGCCTTAGGTGCCAAAAGTGAATTATTCCTTAAGATGCCGACGCTGTCCCTAGAACTGCGGGGTTGTAGTATACCTAGAGAAAAGCTCAGCAATCACGACTTGCATGTCCTCAAAGTTCACAGAGGTAAACAATACAAGATAACGGGGTAATTAAATTGCAAGTTTGGCTACGGTTACTTAAAAAGTTGACGTTTGTCGTTAAAATTAATTTATTCCATCCGTGGTCACCGAAATTAGTTCAACAGTTCAATTTTGGCCATTCTCCGTTATATTTTTCTGATCTGACAGTCAACTTTGATAGTTGACTGTTAAATTAGTGACTTGATTGATAAAAATGATAAAAATAATCTTATTAATTTTCACATAAGTTTAACAATACAAATAAAAATTAATTATAATATTTTTAATCTAGTCAAAAGCCCGACAAAAACATTGCCATCGTTGCGCTGCTCTCCTTGTTCAATAGCTTTTGATCGAGCTCTGTGATTGTCGGTTTTTCCACCGACGGAATCCTGATATCCCCAGTGGAAACCTACCATTCACTACAAGAAAAATTAGGTTTTGCAATCATAATCTTTACAACCAAACTAAAATTGGTTGCCAAAAGACAAGTATTTACAACCATATTTAGGAAGCTAAAATATTAACAATTTGGTTTCTCATTAAAATCAAAGTATCAATGATCAAATAAATCTTAATGAGACCAAATAATTTAGTTGCAAAATGATTTATACTTTTTCCAATCAAATAATTTTGGTAGCAATCAAATATTTTGGTAGCATAATAATTTTTACTTTTTCCAACCATATATTATTTTTCATGAATTTATAGAGGAAATTTTAAAATCTTAGATACTAAATAAATTGGTTGTTAACTCAATAAAAAATTTCAACAACTAAATTATTTAGTTTTCCTTGCATTGGTACAAGTTTATAGATTGTTAATATTCTTAGGTACTGACTACATTAGAAATTTGGTAGCTAGAGTAGTAATTGCGAATAACAATTTTCCAGTAAACAAATTTACGCTTTTTTCCTCCTATCTCCTTCCTTCTTCCGACTTTACCCAACGATCTTCGTCTCTCCTCTTGTATGATCAATTCCGTCCAACTTCTCCTCTTCTCCTAAAATCCGATTTAGACGATGATTGTTGGACATCACAACTTCTCCACTTCTTATTAATTCTGATTCCGTCGAAGTTCTCCTCTTGTTGTTTTTTTCGTATCCTCTTAATTTCGATTCCCTCTTTGTTTCTTTGATATTCGGCTGCAACATTCTCCAGATCGGGGAATCGAGTCAAAGATAAAATTTATTAACATTTTAACTTGGATTTGCTTGATAGATGCTAAAAGATTTGTTTAGGAGCTTGTTAGTTGTTCTTGGTTATATATACAGGTCGTGTTTTTTTAATATCCCTTATTATGTTTATTCTTCCAATGTATCATTTATAGTTCCAACGAAATTCTTTGTAAAGTCTGGTCGTCTATCTCGAGAGGATATACCTTCAGCGGCAAATGGAATACACGTCCCCATACAACAACCTTTTCTCTCTACGTGACATTCAACTACGAGATTGAAGTGCACATGTGCCTCACTACATGAACCCCACACTAGATGATGGCCGTGCAGGTTAGGAGCATAATGAGTGGAGGAATATGTTGTGGATTCACTCAACCATGTAGATGTATGACCAATATCGGAACACAGCGTGTCTAGGGAACTCTAAAGCTAGGAGCTTGCGTATGCAACACCTTTCCTTATGCTTTCACTCGTCCAGTAGTGGGGTTTTTATCTTTCAAATCCTTTAGATTTCCAAACCGAACCAAACAATGGGAGCTTCAAACCCGAAAGCACCCCAACCTCCACATTTGATTTACAAACCTAATGAGCAGGGCCCTAACTGATTGAGTAAAAACACGTGCAAGGCCCGAAGGAAATACGATCTTAATTAGTTTTTTTGATAATGGCGATGAAATTTTATTGCTAAAAGAAACAGAAAGACAGCAAAGCGCTGTACAGGCATGGGAGATCACAAGGCCTGATCTCACAGAGGCACAACCAAAAATAACAAAGATAGCAAAGAGTGAAAAGGAAGAAATAAAGAAAATGAAAAGAAAGGAACGAATACATCATTGTGTCCCAGTTGCTCCATCACCCACCCAACAGCAGGAAATCAAGAGCCTAAAAAACTTTCCGCAGCAGATCCCTCCATCGATGCAGCAGACGAACGCTACGAAACGTCAGGACAAATGTGGGTCACGGAGCGTTGAGATGGGCTCTTGTGCTCTGATCGTGGAGCCATTTCTGCCCCTCTTCCTTAGTGATTTTCCCCATAGCAGTAGGCCATTCAATCATCAAATTAAAAGCTTTCCGAGCGACAGTTGTGGGGTTCTGGCTGGCTTCTTGAAAGATTCGTCGGTTGCGCTCGAGCCACAGCTGCCACGTGATCGCGTGCAGAGCACAAAAGTTGATCCATTCATTGATATTGTTTGGGGTGCTGGATTTCCAATCTCTGACTGTTGAGAATATGTCCTCACTGGTGTTGGCGATGCTCGGGCAGGCCATTCTGCACTTGTACCAAACTTCCTTACCGTAGTCGCACTTGATGAACAAATGGTCGACGGATTCTTCTTCCTTTTCACATAGAGCGCATCTGTTGGCGATCGACCACCCTTTTCTTTTAAGGTTGTCGAGGGTCTGGATCCTCTTTAGGGTTGTCAGCCAGAGGAAGATGCATATTTTTGACGGGATGACGTGTTTCCAGATGGATTTTGCGGGAAAATTGGGGTCTCCCTGGAATTTGTTCTTCACCAATGTCCTGTACATGGAATGAACAGAGAAGGCGTTGTCTGGGTCGGGAAGCCAGACAGGACGGCTCGGTCCGCTGGATACCCTGTTAGTGGCATGTCTATCAAGGAAATCAATTAAAGAACATAACTCCCGCTCAGCTCCCCCCCTTAGCATAATATTTAGATGAAAATCCCAATGGTTACCTTCTACATTACCGTTTCTGACGTCGGAGATTCTGGCTTCAGGATCGGACGCAGCCGCGGCGACCCGGGGGAAGTTGGCAGCGAGGCATGTATTGGGGATCCAAACGTCATGCCAAAAAGAACACCACGCTCCGCTGCCAGGATCAATGCAGGTCGAGTTCCAAAACTGGTCGTGAACTTTCGAGATGTTGGCCCAGGCTGAGTTGGCAAAACCATTGTTGCATCTGTTGGGGTACCAAAGGGAATGAGTGTTGGGGTATTTATGACTGATCAAGGTTTTCCACCATCTATTGCTTTCATTGGCATATCTCCAATGCCATTTGCTTAGCATAGCTTCATTAAAGCTTGCCAGATCGGTGATACCGAGTCCCCCTTGAGATCGAGGAGCTTTACATCTCTCCCAACTTACTAGTGGAGCCTTCGCCGAGTCACTGTTACCGCTCCAAATAAATCTGCGCTGGATGCCTTCCATTCTATTGATCACTGTCTTCGGAGCCTTCAGCAGGGAAAAGAGGTACACAGGTTGGCTGGATAGGACTGTTTTGTTGAGGACTACTCTTCCTCCCATCGATAGATACCTGCTCTTCCATCCCTCTAATCTCTTCTGATACTTGTCGATGATGGAGTCCCATGTGGAGACGGCGTTGAGTTTGGCCCCGAGCGGGAATCCCAAGTACTTTGACGGTTCGGAACTCCACCTGCATCCAAACAAGTTAGCGAAATATTCTGGATTTGGGATGTCGCCAACAGTGAACATCACGGTTTTGTCCAGATTAATGTTCAGCCCCGTTACCGCTTGAAAGCAGACAAGCGTGGCTACAATGTTGAGAACTTGGTCATATGAGGCTTCACAGAATATGAGTGTATCGTCAGCAAAGAGGAGATGAGTCACCTCGCCGCTGTTATTGTCTTCATTCATTCGGAACCCCTGAATTTTTCCTTCAGCACTAACTTTGTTGATCATGAAGTCAAGGATGTCCATAATCAAAACGAAAAGACCGGAAGAGAGTGAGTCGCCCTGCCTGAGGCCTTTGTGCATGGGGAAGAAGCCTCTGGACTCACCATTGATGAGGATAGAAACCAGGGGAGAACACATAGTGCCTTGAATCCATTTGAGCCATTTTGAGGGGAAACCCAATCTCGACAGAACCTTGAAGAGACATTCCCAGTTGACGTTGTCGAACGCCTTTTCAATGTCGATTTTGAACATGAGGCCAGGTTTCTTGCTCTTCTTTCTGCTGTCCACGAGCTCAAAAGCGATCAGCCCCGCATCAGCGATTTGTCGCCCTTTCACTGAAGCTTGTTGGTTGTCCGAGACAATGTTCGGCAGCAGCGTGCTGAGTCTGACCGCCAGGACCTTGCTTACTAGTTTGTTGATGGATCCCATCAGGCTGATCGGTCTTAGGTCCTTGGTATCTTCCACAGCGTCTCTTTTGGGGAGCAGGCATAGGAATGAGTGGGTGACGCATCTAGGCAACTTTCCGTTCGAGTGGAATTCGGAGAAAGCATTGACCACGTCGTTCTTCAGCCAGACCCAACACTTCTTGTAGAACTCCCAAGTGAAGCCGTCCGGGCCGGGAGCTTTGCAGCCGTCGAAGTCGTTAATGCACTCCCAAATCTCCTCTTCGGTGAAAGGGCGTGTGAGGACGAGGCCCTCATGGTTGGAGATGGTGTTGTTGGTGTAATGCATTGGGAAAGGTCGATTGGGTGTTGATTCCTTGAAAAAATTCGTGTAGAAGTCAACCAGACCATCTGCAACTGCTTCTTGACCTTCAACCATAATGCCGTTTATCTTGATGCAGCTGATCTTGTTAAGTCTTCTTTTGAAGTTGGCGACCTTAATTAGTTACCAACCAGGTAAATGCAACCCCTATTTTATAGTAGATCATTCGTTGTAGCTTTTGGAGATGGCGCCCCTGTCCTAGACTAGGTCAAACTCGGCTCGCAACACGCGAAAAATATTGGGAAAATAAGAATCCATATATATGACCTGATTCCTGAGGTTTGGCCTCGAACAAACATGTTCTACTGGCCGTTGGATTTCATCTGGGGGCCTGTCTAATTCCTACGTTACGGAGCTCCTAGATAGCTATGAGAGATGCCCTCTCAGTCATTGTTTCCCGAATTCCTCATCGCTTTATCCTTGAAGATGATTATGAGGTGGTGGTTCGTCAGCTCCGCTTAGGTGTGGTTGCGGATTCTCTAGGAGGGCCGCTGCTCCAAGATTGTCGCCAACTCATCTCCTCATCTTCCTTTGTGCTTTATCTTTAGGGTGGTTCCTCGAACCGCAATTTGGACTGCAATCTCAAAGTGCTCTCATGTCATGTTATCCCCTGCCACCCCCAACTTTTCCCCCATTCCTTCTCTCTTCACTTACCCACTTTCTTTGTCCAAGTTCACTTACACTATACCCCAAAAAAAAAAAAAAAAAAAAAAAAAAACAGACAAGAAGCAGCCAAGAAATACGAAAGCATAGTGCTCCTAGAACGTGCGGGTTTCTTGAAATCTCGAATGTCAAGTCATTAATCAGCCACATCGGTCGTAGAAATTTATGTATCAGACACCTTACTATATGTTATGGCAAACTGATCCCATGCAACTTGGCCACGAAATTTAATAATTACAAAACCAAACTGCAAAGAACATGCATGTTCTTTCCTTTTTTTATTAAATATATATAATTAGTTGCAGAGTTCACATGTTAATTAGCAAATCTGACGCTTCTGCAGAGAGTTACTTATAGTCGCTAGACAAATAATATTCCCTCACTTTTTCCTTGGATCGGCCTAGCTATTATTTAGCTATAGCCCGAATTCCGTCCAGTTTCATAATCGTACCGAATCTCGCTATATGCGGCTGTTCGCTGTCCCTCCAAATCCGAGGTTTCAGTATAAATAGGAATGGCTCTGCAGCTAGCCATGTATTGAACATTCAGCAGCTAGCCATGTATTGAACATTCAGCAGCTAGCATCAGTACTACATTAATTGCAGAGGTCGAAATTCAGAAATAAAAAAAGAAAGGCAAAAGCAAGAAGAAGAAGAAGAGGATCTGGCGATCCCTAGAGTTCCTCTGAACACTTCACTGAGCCGGGGCTGGGATTTTAGCAAATACTAATCTGCATGTCTCCCGTTTTCATTACTGAAGTGTTTGGAGGAACTCCGGGTGTCGCTTGGTATATATGTATGTAACAGCCAATGGTTCTCAAATCCTCAGGTTTGCCATGTTTCTGCACCCTCTTCGATCTATATTGTTTTCTTATAATATTAAGTTATAACCCTAGTTGCAGACTGAAGTATATATGGTTTGATTTGTTGATCATATGGTTTGAGTTCAATGAAATACGGATTGTTCATCCATCATAAATTAGGGTAAATGGTATCATGTCCAAAACTTCTACTAATTCATGGTCTAAATAGCGAAACTCAATAGGCATGCAGTAATTTGAAATTTGTGTATATAAGATTTTGTGTTTAGTACACTTACGTTTTTTTGCATAATACACACTTGTCCCATAATCCTCATTTTGATCATACAGTTCATATTGAAGCAATGTGCGAATCGTCACTTGTGGTATATGACCAGCCTTCAAGAAGGTATAATTCCGAATACCTCTAGGCACGCCTAGGCACTAGGCAGTGACAAAATATCTCTCAATAGATCCTACGCAGACAATCAGGCATTCACAACGTCAAAGCGACGCTTAGGAAAACCTAGGCATGATTAATTCGTGCGAGACCTGATTAATCGAAGTGCGGCACACTTAATTGCACTAGCAGACCAAGGATAAAAAAAAAATTATAGCTAATCTTCCCAAAATATTGTCATCTCCAGCTGCTCTATATTCAATACACCCTTCACTCATTTCTCAATTTCGAATTGCAATTCTATGTCATGAATATTTTGATCAATGTTTAGGGTTAACTAAGTTATTAATAATTTGAAATTGATCTAGAGTAAAAACGTGCTATAAAATTTATATTTCTACTAAAAAATCTTAATCTCAAAACATCTAGACGTCATCTAAGCAAGACATTAGGCGATTCCCCTGTACTTATCTAGCTTCTAACACCTTCTTGACCTTCGAATGATACAGGGGGGAAACGAATGGATTTGGAGAGAAAAAATCATTCGAAAGTTATCAGGTTAAGGATGTATGAATTCGTGAGGAAACATGCTTTATATCATGCACATAGTATCATTGTCCAAAACTTCTATTAATTCATGGTCTAAATAGCAAAATGCAATAGCCACACACTTACATGAACCATATATGTATACACGATTTTGTGTTTAGTACACTTACTTTTTTTTTTTTTGCATACTATACACTTGTCTGACAATTATCATTTTGATTGTACAATTCCTATCAAAACAAATGTGTTAATCGTTTACTTGTGATATGATGAAAAAAATGAATGAATTTGGAAAAAATAAAGGCTTAATACACTTGCAGAGCCATAATTATCAACTTTGTGACAATAATAGCCACATTTTGAAAAATACACAGATATAACCACTATTTTTAAACTTGTTTGACTAATTTACCCATTTCCGGCAATAACATTAACACCGTTAGAAAAATTGTCAATAACATTAACGAAATGCTGATGTGGATGCCACCTCAGCTCCAACACATCATTTCATGCATGCCACCTTGCCGTCACATTCAACTTTCAAAATAAATATATTATTATCACTAAATTTGTTTTGTCCTTCCATCGTATCATCTTCTCCGTTTTATACATCTCCGTCGCCGCTTAGTTGCTTGAAGTCCGACAAGAAGAAGCGCCATCGGTAATGTTAGGGTTAGAAAAAGTGGCGGGGAAGAGATGGAGAGGTAGTAAACGAGAGAAAGTGGAGATGGAAAGAATAAGAAGAAATAGGTAATCGTCGATTGAGTTTACCGGCGTAGATCCAAGCAAAATGGAAAGAGAAAGATGACGGTGGACGGTGGACTCCGGAGGGAAAGAAGCCACTCTCTTCCTTCTTCTTTTCTATATTATTTTATTTTATATTTTTTTCAGTTATTTGTAAAAAAAATAGAACAATTCCAACATGGCAAAGTCAAGATGAAAACTTGCCACATAAGTCAAAATCGTTAGTCCAGTCAACATTATTTATGGCGCTGTTAACGTTATTAACGGATAATTATATCAGTGTGTATTTATAAAATAATTGGCCAGTGTTGTCACAAAGAGCACTATTACGAGTGTATTTTGCCAAAAATAAATCATTCAAAAGTTGTCAGGTTAGAGCACTTCTACTATGCTATATAGCATTGGTGCTTTAATGTACAACTTGAAGTTGTACCATAACATTAAATGTATAAGTTTTGGTTGTACCATAAAGGAATTTGTATCATTATGTTATGGTACAACTTTACAACTTGAAGTTGTACCATCACATAAGGTACAAGTCTAAGTTGTACCATAAAAAAATTTGTACAAAAAGTATCATTATGTTATGGTACAACTTTACAACTTGAAGTTGTATCATCACATAAGGTACAAGTTTAAGTTGTACCATAAAAAAATTTGTACAAAAAGTATAGGTACAATCTGAAGTTGTACCATAACGTTAAATGTACAATTTCAAGTTGTATCATAAATGCAAAAACTTATAGCACCAATGCTATATAGCATTGTAAAATTCCTCGTCAGGCTAAGTATGTATGAATTCACGATACTTTATACAATTGAGACCATAAAGAAATGTGAATAGGTAGGTAAATCGTCTATTTTTCTTGTGAGCCAGCTTGGTGATGGACTCTTGCCCTAACCATCTTTCCCCGCCACCTCCTCCGACGCGCCGCTCGTCCCTCCATATCCAACTCCGGCCACCGCCGCCCCCACCGTCGGCATCTCAAATCGGCACACCGGACAGTAATGACTCAGCTCCAGCCACTTCCGAATACACGCGCCGTGGAAACGGTGACCACACGGCATCTCCGCGCCGCCGTAACAAACCTCTTCCAAACACACCGCGCACGCCTCCTCTCCACCTCCCTCCGCCGCCGCCGCCACGTCCTTGACGAGCGCCGCCACCGCTTCCCGAGCCGCCGGCACCATCCCGCCGCCGTCCTCGCCGAGTCCCGACAGAAACAGCGCCGCCTCCTCGCCGTCCAGGAATTCCGCGTACTCCCTCCCGAAATCCACCCGGACGGACAGCAGCGTCCAGCTCGACCCGGCCCGACCGGCCGCCGCTTCCTTGATTTTCGGGAGCAGGTCGCGGTACAGGTGGCAGTGGAACTCGGGGCCGATCCCCAGCGCCTCCCAGATCGGGGACAGCGCCGCGCAGCCGGCGCCGCTCTCGTTGTCCGACATCGCCAGGGCGTCGAGGTACGAGGAAGAGAGCGAGGCCCGGGCTGTCTCGTCGCGGAGGAACGTCGTCGTGGAGGCTCCGTCTGCGGACACGTGGAGGGAGGCGCGGCGGAGCGTGTAGTTGACGTGGAACTGAATCAGCCTGGACGGCGGACCGCGGCGGGTGGGGTGTTTTTGTTTGGAAGATCTCATGGCGCCGGAGACTATACTGGTCATGAAGATGTGATCCTGCCAACGCATTATTGTCCGATTTCAGAGATCTGCGAATTGGAGAATTCTGAGTTTTGGGTTTGCTTCAAGGGAGAGCAGGGGGAAGATTTATTATAAGTATTGGGGTAATCCGGATTTGATGAGGAGACGGACTGTTCTTGGGAAAGTGTATGATTTGCTTTCCTTCCTTTCCGAGGATTGCTTCTCTCTAAACCAAACGACTTTTTTTTTTGAAACATAAGCCAAGAAAGGGAGGGGGAAGAGAATTACAAGCTAGACGTACGGCGCTACTACTACTTGGCGCTCAAAA